TCACACAAAATCTGGGGGGGGGGGAAGAAGACTTAACAACTACAACTCCTTGAAGTTGATACAACAAGCAAACCGAAAGGACACTGTTGGGTGGGAGCGGGGAGAGGGAAGAGGGAGGGGGGTTTCGGTAATGGGCCACAATAATCAACCTAATTGTATATCGACAAAATAAAATTAAAAAACTAATAATAAATAAATAAAACAAAACAAATTTCTGACTTATATATTTTCTTTCTCTCTAAAGAATTTTTTTAAACATTTCTTGAAAGGCAGGTTTATTGGCAACAAATTTTTTCAATTTTTGTTTGAGGAAGCATTGCTGACTCCCCTCCAGAATCTGCCCACTTGTGTTCACTTTGGTGACTTCAGGTTAGTGTTGTTTTGTATTTTGTCCAGAGTTTATACTGCTACCTGTGGAATAGTTAGTTCCATAGGAGTTTATCATACTGGAAATAGAAACCCAGTTTGTCAATTTCTGTGGGGGGAAAGTGGGGGGGTAAACCAGCTGTAATTAAAAAAAAATTGCATTGAATCCATAGATCATTTTTGGGAGAAATGACACTTTTGCAACATTGCATCTTCTGATTCCTGAATGTGGCATATCCCTCCATACATCTATTTTTTCCTCTTATTTCTCTCAATGATATTTTACAATTTTCTCACTATAGGTCTTGCATTTCTTTGCTAGTTCTTTTTTTTCTCTTTTATTTATTTACTTTTTGGCAGCTGGGCGGTACAGGGATCAAACCCTGCACCTTGGAATTATCAGCACCACACTCTAACCCACTGAGCTGACCGCCAGCCCCCTGTTAGTTTTATATTGAGGTATCTGTTTTTTGATGCTTTTATAAAGGGTCTCATTTTAAAAGTTTCATTTTTTGCATTCTAATTGACAATGGTCATTGTCCAATACCTTAGTTTTATATAGTCCATCCTAACAATTAATGCTTATTAAACTAACTTTACCAATGACCAAACCTATGATTTGTTGCACCTTCCATAGTACCTGCAATGAAATTAAAGGCTTTCAGGAGGGTGGGTTTTCAGGGATTGAGGCTTGGGTTTTATAAACCGAGTCCGTGAGGGAAAAGTTATTTTAGGAATCAACTAAAGCAAAAAGTAGTTCTAAGAAACCACCTCATGGGCATTGTGCTCAAAAAGTGGAGCCTGGCATCATCGCACCTTTCCATGTGAAGGAGGGGCCGAGAGCCATCAGGCTTCTCTCACTTGAAAGTCAGTCCTTCCTTCTGCACACTTTGGAATGGCAGTGATGGCACGGGAGGGCTGACTTGTTGGAGTGCTGTCAGGAGAGGGCAGTTCCCTCCTGAACTTTGAAATAAGCTCTTCTTTGAGTTAAACTAGTAAAACCCGTGCACAATGGCTATAGTTAGCCATTTGTAGGAGTCAGCCAAGAGACTGTCATAAATGAGTCACTTGAGAGTTTGCAGACAGCTCCATTTGGGAGATCTGGGTCAATCTCAGACAGGAGGCAGGCCTGGTTCTGACTGTAATTTACTGAGTGAGTATCTCATCAATGGTTTTCAGCTCATGCTTCATGTGTGAACAGAGGGGTTGGTCAGTTATGGCAGTCTGGAAAGGGCAGTGCCAGTTTCTGCCAGTGTTAGGGTCCGAGTCCCAAGTTTCTACCCTACCAAGAATGAGACCTGATGCCATTGACGTGCCCTTCTCAAGCTTCAGCTCCATCATCTGTAAAACAGGCTCAGCGTGGCACTCAGGGAGTGCTCATCCATTAGTCCTGGTTATTACTGGTGGCCACATGAACCCTGTCCCTGCCAGGGAATCTTGGCCGAGCAGATTCAAGCATGGTCATTATCTTGAGAAAGCAGAGCAGGAATGGAACTGTCTTGACTAGTGGGCTCCATTCCAGGCCCCTCAAGACACAGGCCACCATCTTGGATTCTAACCTCCCCCGACACAAGTCCCAGGGCAAAGGGGCTGATCAGACCAACCAGTGCCTTCTGATTTCTCTAAGATTGTCTCTCCAAAGGAAGACAAATTAGTCATCTGCTCTATTGGGTTGAACAGTGTCTCCCCCCAAATTCACACCCATCTAGAATATAAGGACGTGAACTTATTTGGAAATAGGGTCTTTGCAGATGTAATAAGTTTCTCATGATGATATTCTAGATTTAGGTGTGTCCCACATCCAATGACTGGCATCCTTATGAGAAGCAGAGAGGACACAGACAGGGAGGCGGCCAGGTAAAAGCAGAGATGGGAGTGATGTGGCCACAAGCCAAGGGCACCCTGGAGCCACCAGAAGTTGGAAGAGGCAATGAAGAATTCTCCCCTAAATCCTCCAGAGGGAATGTGCCCTGACCACACCTTGACTTCAGACTTCTGGCTTCTAGAACTGAGAGAGAATAAATTTCTGTCATTTTAAGTACAGTTTTGTGATAATGTTATGGCATCCCTAAGAAACACTATGTCTACATTTACGGAGCAGTTATGTGTTCATGAATTTGTCCCTGGGATGTGGATCCGTTTTTGATAATGGGCACATACCTCTGAGCCTGTGTAGCTAAAGAATGCTGCTGGCTGGGCTGGTGAAGTCGCCCAGGAGATGGGACTCTGGGAGCCAGCACCAGGCAACCAGCTGGCATCTAGCTGCACGGCTTTTTAAAAAATTGTTTTATGATGAAGGATTTCAGGCAGATAACACAAGCATGGGTAATAGAAACTGCCTGTCTTTCCCAGGGCAACACTGAAATCACTGACTCTTGGTTATGTTATTCTTATATCTAAGTGAGTGTGTCTGATACTCTATTTTACTGAAGAAAACAATATACTGCTTAATGAATTTTAAGGGCCCACAAAGTTGCTGGCCCTTAGTGAGTGTGTCTGATACTCTATTTTACTGAAGAAAACAATATACTGCTTAATGAATTTTAAGGGCCCACAAAGTTGCTGGCCTGGGAAGTCATTTTTTTGGCCACAGCCTTGCACATTTCCAGCATTGTAGGCAGCGAGGATATGCTGTTTTGGAGTTCTGCTGTTCTCCCAGCAAACATTTTTGTATGTTTAAATATGGTGTTTATAATTTACACTTAATTCCCCCCCTTTTTACACTAAGTGGGATTTCTTTTCAAACTGCGGATGTTGTAACTGCTTGTGTCAATAAATAAAACCACACAGAGGTATTCAGAGATTAGGCCCTGAGTCCCCAGGGTGACCAAGGTTAATGGTTGGCAGTGCCCCCAGCCCCACTTTAGGAGGGGAGGAGCCGCAGCTTTCTTACCCTGCAGTTCATCCTGAAAATGGGCAATGCTCTCACAAATACCAGATGTAGTAGAGCTGCCTGTGGCTCCCACCTTCCTTAAGTCCTTTTGGTGCACAAGACCTTCCTGCAAGGGAAGTTGGGACAGGTGGACACAGACTCTTAATTTCACCATACTTCCTGTGACTGCTGGGCTGGGGGTGCTCCAGAGGACTTTGGGGGCTATGTCAGCAAGTGCCTGAGCACAGGAGGAAGTTGAGTCCCACCTGCAGAAGGCCAGGACCACTCTAGGGTTGAGGGCTCCTGTCAGGGATTTCAAAGAACGCAGAAGTCACCACTCTGTCGAGGTGGCACCGCTGACCCTTATTAAAGCTCTCAGTACCAGAGTAGCAGCAGACTTAAAGGGTGGGGGTGTGAATGTGGGAACCCCGCAAATTACATGAGCTTTGGGACTCACGGACCCAGAACCTGGGTCTTTCTTCCATGACATCCCATGTTCTGCTGTGTAGCACAGCTGCTTGTGTTCTTCTGCTCCAACTCCAATCTGAAGGTTCCGAGGGTGCAGACTGTGCTACATACCTGGTGTTTCCTCCTACACAAGTAGCACATGAAGCTGAAGTTGGACTCTCAACTGTCTGGTATGACCTACTTTAAAATTTTCTGTATTAGCTGTCAACAATCAAAGATTCTGAGATTTTACATATGGCCCCAAATTTATGCTTTTCATGGTAAACTCACCATCTGCCCAAAAGTGGGCTCCAGGTGCCCCTGGGAGTTGGGGCACTGATTCCCCCAGGCTTGCAGGACCCCCCGCCTCCCCCCCCCATGCTTCCTTACACTTAGCTTGTTCTATTCCTTAACTTTCCTGCCTTCTGGGGGCTAAAGTCCACATGCGAAATTCTGGTTATACTTTATAGGATTTCCCCCAACACTCGCGCCCTGGGGGAGGCTGCAGGCTGCACTGCTTCTCGGCTACTGCTATTGTCAAGAGAACCAACCTGAGGTGGAGGGGGGAGGATCCAGGTACTCCAGTTATCAGTAGCCAATTAGTTTGAAAGGCTGCTATGGGCTCACGCACATGGGCCCAGTTAGACTGCTTTTGAGAGCCCAGCAGCCTCTTTTGTTAAAGCAGTTAAAAAAAAGTCATTTACTATGTCAACAGCTTCATTCATTGTGCTGAGATTGTCTCTTCAGCAGTAAAGCCTGATCCTGTGATCTCGTTGCCAGAGAGGTCCCAGACGAGGAGGGATTTCTCTTTGGGAACCATTTCTGGGTTTTTACGAAACAAAAAAACAAACAACCCTAAACCAAAACGTAAACATATAAAAACGGGAGAAAAGAAAACCAGTGGAAACATACAATAACATCACCTTTTGGTTAAAAAAAATCCACCACTCAGAAAGAAGAAACTAGAACTTCCACTGAAATATTCCTATAGAGGTGCTTATAAACATTATTTGAGACAATTCACTCTTTTCCCCGCGAAAAGTAAATAAAGAAGAGAAAACTGCTCCTAGACGTCGCGGCCTCATACTGGGGACCCTTCCTCACCGGACGGGCTCTGTCCTCTAGCCGGATGGCTGCTGCCGCCCTGGACAGGGGGCGGCCCTGAAAGGAGAGCTCCCGGGCCGCTCCGTACACCAACCCCGCCACGGAGAGGAAGGCCGCGGGGTGGGGCCGCAGGGAGAACTCCGTCCCGGGCCCGCCCTGCCGGG